AGACACAAACTAGAAAAGTCTGACCGCAGCCCCGTCATCCTGTCAGAGAAAAGTTAAAGTTTAGTTAGTGGAGTTTGGTGGAAAACAATTTATCATCTGTTTCCACAAAAAAGGTGGGTAGATAAAGCTTTAAACACATTCCAAAACCAATGTAAGAACTGAGTGAACTGGAACTTAGAAAATGAGACGCTCTCTCTGATGCTATCATGTTTAATGTCAAACTCTCTCTCACCAGGTGCTGTCAGAGGCTCGGCAGGAGGTGAATCGGAAAGAGCGCTCACTGAGGATTCTGGGTAAGCACCTATCAGGGATTCAGAAGGGGAAGAAGCAGGTGGAGGAGAGGCTGCAGCGAGCTGAGGAAGAGCTGAGAGATGCCAGCAGGTAGTGGGTCTTCTTTCCCTCTGCTCAGAAGTTTGTTTACTGTGAGATTGTTGGTTGTTGACGTTGTTGTTTCTCAGACGTCGGGACCGTGTGGTCAGCTGCATGAAGGCTGCAGAGGCGAGTTGCAAGCAGGTGAACACATGCACACAAACACACACACACAGTGAGGTGACCTCACTTTGACTGCTGAAACTCACTCTGGGCCTCACAGTTGTTGAAACAATGCAGTGTGCTCTTCAGTTCAGGGACAGTCTCGTCCAATCGCAACACTCTCTGAAGACCAAGCCCCGCCCCTTGCTGTTACCTCATGAGAACCTAGAGTTGAGTGGAGCAGAGAGCATCATGGGAGCTCCTGAGGCGACAGCGTGCCAGGTAGCAGAGCGAGGAAGGAAGTGTCTTTCTTTTCTTATGTTTTCCCTCCTTCCTTATTTCCTTCCTTCCTTCGACACCTTTCTCTCCTCTTTAGCCTCCACCCTTCGCCGCTCTCAGTTCATCCCTTCATGTTTCTCTTCCTGTGCAGAGTTTTCTCTCCGCCGTCTCTCAGCTCTGCCACACCTGCAGCTCCAGGATCGATTGGCTTGAGCAGGAAGTCTCTGCCCACCGCAGTCATGTGACAGCACTGCGTAGCGAGCTGCAGGATGCCTGTCTCCGTGACAACTTGGCCTTTGTTCCTGTAAGACTCCCTCTCCTTTAAATACTGGTCTCTATAAGCCTCTATCTTTAGTGTAATGAATTATTTTTATACATGCAACAATTCCTGTTTACAATAAATATTACCTTTGTTTCTCTTCAGGTGTCTGATTTCACAGAAACCTTTCCTGTCGCTGACGTGGAAATACCTCAAGCTGTTCCCCTCTGTGATTCGTCAAAGAACCCGATGATCACTGTAAACCACTCCCCCTCTAAGGTAAACCCCACCCCTCCATCAAAAGCAAGGTCCTCCCCTACATCGGCTTCTTGCAAAGTCACCGTGGGTCAAACGAAGTTGAAGAAAGCCACAAAAAAAACCAGAGGCCACGTGAAGAGCGGAGGGCGGAAATGATCACATATGTCTGTAATGATACAAACCACAGAAGAAGAAACACTTTTTTGAAGTTGTGGAGGCTTTCTGATTTTGGAAACTTCTTCTTCAAATAACCAAAACTTTATTCATCTGCAGTAGCAGGCAAACATGCTCTCTCCACAGCTGTCTGGTGACAGACGCCTGAAGGCCAGATGGTCGAGCGTTACGACGGCGACTCGGTGACGGATCAGCAGCTGCCGCTGCCACCAGAGCTGCTGTCACTCAGACGCTGCTGCTCGTGTGCTGTGGCCGAGTGCGTTCTCAAACGATTCACGTGAAAGAAAACATCACAGAGAAAGAGTGAAAATTCTTCTTCAGTGTGTTCAGTCGGTTTTACTCAGTTACCTCACTGCAGATTTTCTGTTCGTGTTACTTTTTCGCTCTCGTGTGAGCTGAAATTTTGTTTGTTTGCACACAGAACTCACGAGCAGATACATGTCCAGCTAAAGCAGAAAAGCTAAAGAGATATAAATGTATCTTTTTTTGTTTATTGTATTTGTTTTTACTTATTTATTGTCAGATTTTCACTGTTAGGAATTAAAAATAAAAAAAAAAACACTAAGGAGTGACGGCAGCATTTTCATTTTACTAATCTGTAAGTAACTGAACACAACAAATAATGTTTAAAAGAGCAAACAAACAAAAAAAACAACCCCAAATAATCTCTAAGGACACAGGACATCATCACAGACACAAAATGAGTCCTTAAGAGGAAAAAGTAGAAAACAAATGACTTAAAGGAAAATTAAAATTATCCAATTAAATAAATAAACTAAGCAAATAATAATCTCAGGAACACGGAATGACCACTAAGTTTAAACATACATGACTTTAGAGAGAAACAAATTCCTCCGAACAAAATATTGCAAAAATAAAAAACATTAAAGATCAAAACTGAAGTTGTGAAAACAAAAGTTTTCCAGCAGGAAAAGCAATCAAGACAAACATTTCATAACTACTGCATCAGCACAATAACTCTGTGTGAAGCCTCAGGCTGTGTGTGCTTCTTTTTTTTATTTGGCATTACCGTGAGACGGCCAAAGAAATGTCCTCGGGCTCTGAGCGTGTGACGTCTTTACAAAGTGACTTAAGCTGCTGACACACAGAGAGCCGCGCTGATTCAGCTGAATGCGACTCTCCTCTTTCCTCTGGAGGGGTTCGTCGTTTTTTTTCTCTCTGTCTCTGAGGAGTCCCTTTGAGCTCCCCCTCCTGTCTTACACTCTTCCTTTCATACTTATATCCAACTTATATTCTCTGCTTTTTACTGTTGTCTTGAGTTCTTCTTTGCACTCAAAGAGAAACAAAATAAACTCAAACAGAAACGAAAAAATACACATAAGTACCACTCAGTCCTAATTAAACTTCAGCTCTTATCGATACAAAGACCGTTTTCATTGGACGTAACATGACCTGCTGACCTGCTCTCACCTCAGTTATGAGTCCTGGTGGCCAGTCCTTCCCAGCTTAATTTTTTTAGAGTATTTATTTGTCACAGATTACACAGTTTTAGTTTTATTTAGCATGCAAGCTTTAAAGTCTCTATCAAAGAAACTGCTGGTGTGCACAGAAAGCTTTTTCCTTGACAGTCACTGGAATCGGGTAAAAGCTGTCTCCCTCCTTCAGCTGTTGACTCCTCTGTCATTTGCTTTGAAAGGAGTGGGTAGCTTAGCTTAGCATCACAGAGAGGACAGCTGGGTTAGTGTTTTCCACCAATAGAAAAGTGACAGGTTCATTGAACAGGAGGCAGCGGTCAGAGTTTGTCCCGCTCTCGAACGACAGATTAAGTTTAATTCCTGATGAAGCAGCAGCTTCTCTCATAGAAAACCAGATTCAAATGACAAATCTGAGGCCAGCTGAGGAGCTGTGAATTCCCCCAGAGGATAAAAAATGTAATCCAGAAACAAAGATAAGCTCCGGCATGCAGCGACACAACAGGATCGCCGGCTTTAACCGCTTCGACTCGTGCCACAGTGACCTGCAGCTGCACTTGAGGCTGCTTATCTCAGCGTTTCCCAGAAAATTACATACAAACACAATGTCTCCTGTGACTGTTAGAATCTGTGAAGTAAAAATATTTCCACTCGGGACGAAAACCTGATAGCATCTATCCACAATATTGGCTCTTCTCGTAGTTAAAGCCTTTGCTTTAAAATGTCACAGTCTACAAAGGAAGGATGTGACGGAGTGGCCATATGTCAATAACAGAACGCTAACCTCCATGGAATAATATCCAGGAGGTTTCCAATGAAGCAAAATGTTTCTGCGCTTTTTATTTGTAATTCTTAAACCTCTACAGAGTTCAGGCAAATTTATTAATGACTACTTTCATGTTTAAATGCATGAAATATAGCAGAATATACTGTATATGAGATCAGGAACTTCAAAAACTAAACAAATTGACAAACTTTATCTTTACAGTCAGTTTGAGACATTTGCAGGTGTGAGGGGGGAAATTGTTTTGACTCAATGGTAGTCCAGAGAGTCAAAGGCAAATCAAAAGGTGCACCTTGATGGTATATTAAAGAATTATCTGAGAACCCCAGGCCTATAATGGTTAGTAGTGTTTCAATGGTGTTTGATGGACTATGAGTCCAAGTGCTTGGGTATATTGTTCATGGTGATCTGGATATTTGTTGAGTAAGTAATTGGTTTTCAGTTTTGAGGTTCAAATATTACAAGTTCGTTCTGATTCTGTTTGTTCTTTGGTCGTGGAAATTTGGTTATGGAAGGTTATACCATTTACCATTTCTCTCTTTAGAGAGTGCCAAAATCGAAGCCCTTAGTATTCAAGAGAACACTAGAACTGTGTGGTAAATACCTTCTCAAATGGTTTAAATCATCTGTAAAATTGTCCAGTTTTTCTTCTTAACCATAGTCGTTCCTCTGAAACTTGTTAAAGATCAGTAAATACAGCTACTTCATTTGCAGGATCACTTTAGGATTGCAAACCTGCCAATTGCAGATGGGTGGAGTATCGTTACCCATCGGCAGCCACATTAAAGTATTAATAATAAGCCCTGACTTGTTTCATGTGATGAATCGGCCTCTGCTCTGAAGTCTGATGTCTGATGTGACACCGCGAAATGTCAAACAGCAACTTAATCCCATGTTATCCTTTCACACACATGACAGACGTTAATCCGCAGCGCGATCCTCAAACTGTAACAGGATTAAAGACCTGAAAGGGCCGCCTTTTCATGGGTTTGTTTTTCTATCAACATCATAGGAACTTTCTTCCAAGTTCGAGCCTCCTGTTCATTAAATAATAATACGACTAAAGGCTGGAACACCGAAAGAAAACAAAACATCAGTACAAAAAGAATGAATTAAAAGGTGTCAGCGTCCTGTTTCTGTTCTCGATCTCCCATATGAATACTCCACAAACTTTTCTTCTCCATCTCCGAGTCCTCCCAGCATGCTGTCCTAGTTCCACCTGTGACAGCGCACACATTTCATTTAAGCGCACACTTAAACACACACTTTCCCAGCAGTGACTGCATCGCTGCCAAGTTGGACTCACTACAAAGAGAAACCCTCTCACTCTCCAGAGCAATGACACAGATACAAAGGGGGTGGGATAAGGGACTGCAAAGAGTGGGGGAGGAACGAAGATGGAAAGAGAGGACACACTCAGGCACTCAACATGTCCTGTTAAATATATGTTTACCACAAAACACACACAGAGTCTTTAGTGTCATGTAAAATTCACCTCTGGAGCCCGCTGAACTCAACGTTTGAGGTGACAAATGGCAGAAAAGTGACAGACGGGGAAAAGCCATGCTGGAAGCAGAGCAAATTTTTAATG